ACCATGTGTGAGAGTGATCTACCATGTGTGAGCGCGATCTACCATGTGTGAGAGTGATCTACCATGTGTGAGAGAGATCTACCATGTGTGAGAGAGATCTACCATGTGTGAGAGAGATCTACCATGTGTGAGAGCGATCTACCATGTGTGAGAGAGATCTACCATGTGTGAGAGCGATGTACCATGTGTGAGAGCGATCTACCATGTGTGAGAGTGATCTACCATGTGTGAGAGCGATCTACCATGTGTGAGAGAGATCTACCATGTGTGAGAGCGATCTACCATGTGTGAGAGTGATCTACCATGTGTGAGAGAGATTAACCATGTGTGAGAGAGATTAACCACACTGCAGAAAGAGAAGGAATCTGGTCCAATCTTTTCTTATTTTGAGCACATTCAGACTGAGCCTTAAACAGACTCTGCTGTTGGTGTGTCCCTGAGCAAGACACTTAACCCTACTTTGCCTGAAGCCCCACCCGAAAGACCAAGGCTGTGACATCGCTGGACTCTCCCCTGGACTCAGCCCTGGACTCAGCCCTGGACTCAGCCCTGGACTCAGCCCTGGACTCAGCCCTGGACTCAGCCCTGGACTCAGCCCTGGACTCAGCCCTGGACTCAGCCCTGGACTCAGCCCTGGACTCAGCCCTGGACTCAGCCCTGGACTCAGCCCTGGACTCAGCCCTGGACTCACCCCTGGACTCTCCCCTGGACTCAGCCCTGGACTCTCCCCTGGACTCTCCCCTGGACTCAGCCCTGGACTCTCCCCTGGACTCCCCCCTGCAGGAGGCCCAGTGAGCTGCTGGTTCTATGAGAATGAACTCAAACCCCAAAGTCACAATAAATACATATAAAAAATACAAAAAGAATATTGTAAAAAATCACACTTAAACCCTCACTAATTAACTGCGAATAAAACGCGAATTAATCTTTATTTTAATCATTATTGGTAATTATTATGCACTTTTATCAGTCACTTAGGCCTTATTCAACATGTGATTAACTACAGCTGACACTCCCTGGGGGGTAGGGCTAGGGTTTGCTAATTAGTACTTAATTAGCACTTAATTAGCTGCTAATTAGCGAGGGCTAATCTAAAGTATTTACAGACGTTATATGGACAGAGAAGGAAGGTGCCCACATCCTAAAGTCGGTTGAAAGCGTTGAAGAACTTTTGAGTTTCTGATCCTCTTTGTAAGTCCCCAAAGTCCTTCTTTTATTACATATATTTACAAAACAAACAAAAAGATTCAGTCTTTTTAACCGTTTGTGTAAAAAAAACACAGAGTAGAACGGACTGAGAACTTGGTCCAACCCCCAAACGACTTCGTACCAAAACCATTATCATTAATATCCGGGCCTTTAGCCTCGAGGTGCCATAAAAGTTTAATAAATGAATTAGCGAGCAGCTGCTAGCTTGTCCGCGCCCGGCTCATCAGATAGCGCTCGTGGACTCCTGTTTGCGTTCCTTATCTTTGTCGCTGTTGCTGTTGTTGCTGTGACTGCTGCTGATTTTCAAAACCGCGGGTAAACGGCAGACCATGCAGCTGACCAGGCGCCGCGGCAACCCCCGCTTCACGCCCTGCAACACCGAGCTGACGGACCCCCGCATGGCCGACGAGGAGAAGTAGAAAATGAAAGGGTCTAGACAGGCGTTGAAGGTGCTGCAGAGTAAGGCCTTGTCCCTCCAGAGCGGGCTGCGACCTTGGATGAAACCGACAATGTGGGAAACGTTGTAAGGTCCGAAGCAGAGGGCGAAGACGACGAGAGTTCCCAACGCCATACCGATGGCGCGGAGTCGCTTTCTCCGGTTGATGTGCTGCAGCGAGAGCAGAATCCGAATGAAGTTGATGTAGCAAAAGCAGGAGATTAAAAGCGGGACGCAGAACAGCACGATGCAAAGTTCAAGTCTGACCGGGAGCAGGACTTCCAGCTGCTGATCGGTGAAGTTTTCGTAGCAGACATTCTTTCTTTCAACCGTAACGACATCTGATAAAGTTGTGGTGTTTCCGGAGTTTGTCTCGTTGGTTGTGTCTTTGGGGATCGGCCCATTTCCACCGATGAGTGGAATGATGAAGACTATGCTGAGGTGAATGAAGGAGAAAACCCAGAAGAAGATGCTAGCTCCGATGGCGTAGACTGGGCGGCGTTTTAGGGAATGCTGGATGGGGAACGCCACGCCCAGATATCGCTCTACGCTTATCGCCGTGAGGAAGAAGGTGCTGGTGTAGATGGTGAGGTAGAATATGAAGCCAGAGAGGGGGCAGAGGGCGTCGGGCAGGTTCCAAATCATTTCGTTCAGGACTTCTTGCATCTTGAACGGCAGGAAGAGAAGGAAGAGGAGGTCGGAGATGGTCAGGTTGAGCAGGAGGATGTCTATGGGTTGGGCTTTTTCCCGCAGCTTTTTGCAGAAGGTGTAGAAGGCCAGGATGTTGGCGGGAAAGCCCAGCACGAAGGTGAGGATGTAGACGGACAGACACAGAGCGGTGTGACACTGCTGCATGCTGCTGCCAGACGTCCAGCCCGAGGCCAAAACGATCGAGAAAAGGTCCGAGAAAGGTCCGAGAAAGGTCCGAGAAAGGTCTGAGACGAATTACATTGTGTCCCGGAGGTCGGCCGGGGAGGGTGGGGTCCGGTGGGGTCCGGTGGGGTCCGGTGGGGTCCGGTGGGGTCCGGTGGGGTCTTATTCCAGGGTTATTGGTCCGGATCGAGACGGCGTGGTTGTCTTGTCCTGGCTGATAAACCGACAGTGGCGGCCTCCTGACGTGCTGTGAGCTCTGCAGATAAGAGAGAATGGAAAGAGATTATTGCAGTGAGCAGCACACGCTTGTTTAGACACAGCACACTGCACAAAACGGCAATAAGAGGTAATAAAAGATTTAATCAAGGGGTTTTGTCTTGATTTGACTATTTTCTGACCGTCTTAAAACAACATTTGCCAAAGGAACAAGTCGTTCGGTCTTAGTATAATATATTTCTGAAGTTTGATTTGTTAAGGACAATGTGCAATTGCAATAAAAAGAACCAGCACCAGCTCCTTTCCCTTTATAGTCCGTGACAATACAATTATTTAAAATGCAAGTTACTGAGATACACGTTAAAACGCAGACATGTAAAAAGTTGATTTTGTCTTCTGATGTCCGGTCATTAAGCAGAATTAGCTCATTAAAAGAACCTTCTAAGCCTTATTAAAACACAGGTGGGAGCAATATCTAAAATAATAATAATAATAATAATCAGGGCTCACTGTTCCCTCGCGGCCGCAGTGACTATAAATAAAAACATTCTTCGTTCCAGGGAAAACAATTCTTGGATTTTCTTGTATCTTTCGAAAACAACACATTTCTGCTTTGTCCCGATGGAAAATCTGGTTTTTAGACAAATAAGATTAAAAACATTTGATTAAAGTAGTTATTTCCTGTTGTTTTTTGCAGTGCAGGAGAAAGGGGTGTCCAGATTAATGCAAATGAGGAAAACGTTAATAATTTATTGAGGTTTAGAAAAAGTCATTTATTTATGTCCAGGTCAGAAACTGGAATCAATGGTTTTCATTTTCACTATTTACTTAAGAACACAATACAAATATTCATTAAAACACACACACACACACACACACACACACACATACACACACAGGCACACACACACAGGCAGGCACACACACACACACACACACACACAGAGAGACACAGACACACACACACAGAGACACACACACACAGGCACACACACACACACACACACAGAGACACACACACACATTAGACACAGAGACACACACACCTCCTGTAGAAGAAAGAAGAGTGTGTGTGTGTGTGCCTGTGTGTGTGTGTGTGTCTCTGTGTGTGTGTGTCTCTCTGTGTGTGTGTGTGTCTCTGTGTGTGTGTGTGTGTGTGTCTCTGTGTGTGTGTGTGTGTGCCTGTGTGTGTGTGTGTGTGCGTGTGTCTCTGTGTGCCTGTGTGTGTGTGTGGCTCTCTGTGTGCCTGTGTGTGTGTGTGTGTGTGTGTGTGTGTGTCTCTGTGTGTGTGTGTGTGTCTGTGTGTGTGTGTGTCTCTGTGTGTGTGTGTGTGTGTGTGTGTGTCTCTGTGTGTCTCTGTGTGTGTGTGTGTGTGTGTCTGTGTGTGTGTGTGTGTGTGTGTGTGTGTGTGTCTCTGTGTGTGTCTGTGTGTGTCTCTGTGTGTGTGTGTGTGTGTGTGTCTCTGTGTGTGTCTGTGTGTGTGTGTGTGTGTGTGTGTGTGTGTGTGTGTGTGTGTGTGTGTCTGTGTGTGTGTGTGTGTGTGTGTGTGTGTGTGTGTGTGTGTGTGTGTGTGTGTGTGTGTGTGTGTGTGTGTGTGTGTGTGTGTGTGTGTGTGTGTGCATTGTAAAGATACTATGGATTGTTCTATTTCATTTAAACTGTATTTTCTCATTAAAGTAACCATAGAATAATCTGTTCTAAAATATTCACTAAAATGTAGTTTGGCCAAAGACATTTTTGAAATAAATTAAACTCTGAATCTTTATATGTTTGCACCCGGTTACGCTCCCGGTTACGCTCCCGGTTACGCTCCCGGTTACGCTCTGGCATGTGCCTCCTGTTCGGCGACCCCGATCCCATCTCTGTGTGGAGTGAGAGACAAATGCCCAAAATTAACAATTGTAAACCGCTTTGTGACTCTGGTCTGTGAAAGGCGGTATATAAATAAAGCTTACTTACTTACTTACTTATGTTTTTAAACTTGGCCCCCAACCAAAATTAGTTTGACGCCACTGTTCTAGTATTTCCAACCATAGACTGTTTATATTAACGGACGTAGTCAGGTCTATCTCCGCCGTTCTAACAATGGGCCAAAAAATGGGCTTTCATGGAGTGATTCAAAATGGCCGCGGGGGCTGGAAAATGTGAAAAAACACATCTGTGCATGAGTCAGCTGCACGAGCTCCATTCATTTAAACGAGAGACTTCTAAAGTCCACAGCGACTAAACTAGACTGGTCCAGAACACTCAGCATTGACACACATGTGGAACGGAGCTTTGGACCAAGAGCCACTTCTGGACCATCCTGTAAAGACGTTTTCCAGAGGTAAGAAGATGTGTACATTTGCATTGAATAATTCCCTTTCCGGGTCCACCCCCACAGGCTCGGGGTGGTACTGCAGCATGTCAGGGTCCACCCCCACAGGCCCGGGGTGGTACTGCAGCATGTCAGGGTCCACCCCCACAGGCCCGGGGTGGTACTGCAGCATGTCAGGGTCCACCCCCACAGGCCCGGGGTGGTACTGCAGCATGTCAGGGTCCACCCCCACAGGCCCGGGGTGGTACTGCAGCATGTCAGGGTCCACCCCCACAGGCCCGGGGTGGTACTGCAGCATGTCAGCACCACCCCCACAGGCCCGGGGTGGTACTGCAGCATGTCAGGGTCCACCCCCACAGGCTCGGGGTTGTACTGCAGCATGTCAGGGTCCACCCCCACAGGCCCGGGGTGGTACTGCAGCATGTCAGGGTCCACCCCCACAGGCTCGGGGTGGTACTGCAGCATGTCAGCGCACGTCATTTTGGCCACTTTTGAGCCGGGACCCGGCCACACTGGTTCCAACTTTCTGGTCTGAATCCAACCAAACCAAAACCAAACCAAACCAGCGTCTCTTCTCGGCCGCAGGATGGATTTAAACGTCAGCGTTTTGAAAAACAGTGAAATAAATGGTGTGAAAATGTGAAAACTGCTCAGACTCAGACTTGGGGCCAATAATAAAGAAGCTTGTATGAAAAGTATTAGTGTTTCTGGTAATGGCACTGTTTGTTTTCCTGGTGTTTTCCTGGTGTTTTCCTGGTGTTTTCCTGGTGTCGTGCTGGTCCTCGTAGCGTCCTCTGACATCAGGCCGTAACGAGGAGTTAGTGCTGATATTAAAATAACTGATTGTGGAACAGTTGTGTTTTTACTGCAGAGGCGAGCACTGATCATGTAACGAGCGACACGTGGACCATCGCACACGCCTCATCGCTGCCCACATGGTCCCGGGGCATTTCTCTGGAAGGAAACTGCTCCGTCATTACTGGTGAGCAATCGCACTGCTGCTTTCTGTGTTTATTTTATGTATTTTCATAGGTCTCCCATCACAGCACTAACCAGGCCCTGTCCTGCTTAGCTTCAGAGCTAAATTCATTCATTCATTCATTCAATTCATTCATTCTGACAGAATGAATGAATGAGTTTTAGCACTTATTAAACTTCATAAATTACATCATTTTATCAAAAATGATCTTGGGAATTTTTCAGAATTCCATTGGTTTGAATGGGAGCTGTCAAACTCAACAACTTTTGAATGACTTCATGAATTAAGTAATTAATTATATACATATTTATGGACCTTTAGAGTTTTATAATGTGTATAGTGTTTGATCATATGTTTCAAATCATGTGCAAAACTGCAACTTCAGAATCTCACTTTACCTCATGTCACTTTACTTATATACTTTTTATCCTGCACTATATGTACAGTATATAACTGCACTACTACATTTTTACGACATTTCCCCACTGTGGAACGAATAAAGGAATTCTTATCTTATCTTAAATGATCCCAGAACAGTCATTTTGACGGCTTTTCGTTTCAGCAGACTAGACTTTACTGAGGTTCATTTCTGTGTCATTACTTTTATGAAATTTTCTTTTCTTTTTGTTTTTGTTCTTTTATCTTCTTTTATCCTGTTTCCGTCTCTCACTAATCAACATTCTGAGGCCGTTCAAGCCCGTTTTCTCCAAGGTCCTGGTCCTGGTCCAGGTCCAGGTCCAGGTCCTGATCCTGGTTCTTGGTTTTCCCACATTACAGCCGGCCTGTTACCATAGCAACCATACCTCATTTACCCCAAACTTTTTATAACACTAAACTTCTACTTGTCTTTTAATTTATTCTGCTTCAGTAAAACTTACTCATCAGCGTCAGAGATTAAGAACATTATTAATAATGTTTTGGTCTAATTTATTGACAGCGTTTAAAATGTCAGGATTCTTTCCATCGGACAAAGTCACTCGGATAAAGGTACTATGTGCAGTGTCATACCAGGTACCATGTGTATCATTATGGTGGAAAATGTACGTACCCCAACTTTAAAGTTAATGTTTAAGAAAATGACTGGGAAAAAAGACAAACACACTGCAAAAAATGAAGTAATAAATGTTTGATTTTTGTCTGTTTTTATCTGAGTTGTTTCTGACTGGTTTTAAACGGGACAAAGACATTTCGTTTTAATTCATGAACTGTAGATTTATTTTCATTCCAAGAGAAAAATTTCTGTATCTTTTTAAAACAAGATCATTTTTGCTGTGTCCCGTTGGAGAATGTGGTTTAAAACAGTCAAAAATGTGTTTAAATTAAAAATACTTTTCGCCCATTTTGAGTCCTTTTTGTGCCATTTCTACCCTTCTCTTTTTGCAGTGTATGAGTGGATATGAGTAATAATGAGAGTTCTTACCGGTGAGGCTGGTCTGGTCTCTCTCTGGTCTCTCTCTGGTCTCACTGTGG